TGGAAAAGTCTAACTTGATGAGTCCATTCCTTTTCCCACTTTGTCCCAGGGACTGTACTAAGGCTCTGGGGATCCCAAGACAAACTACACAGATATGGTCCCTGCCCCCACAGTGTCCACAGGGAGAGCAGACAGTTAAACAAGCACTTACAATAAAGTGGGATGACAGGGCAGTGCCAGGTACCAGGGGAGTGCACAGCTGGGGAACCTAAACGTGTCTAGACAAAGAGATGGATTCAGGCAGAGGGAACAGCACATGCCAAGGCCCAGAAATGACTGGGTGCAGCAGGCTGAGTGATGGGAGACAGAATAGTGTGGTTGGATTTTGGAGCATGAGCAGGGGAGACACAGTGTGAAGCCACTGGTGAGTTTCTCACAAAGGTGTGTCAAGTCAGGTTTGCCGAGTGGGGAGTTCGCCGATTGCAGTGTGAAGGATAGGACTGGAGGGTCCTTAGTTAGAAACCCTCTGCTCAATAAGATGGAGAAAAGGCTGCTGTGTATTTATTCTGCAGAGAAATATCTAAACTTTGATGCTTCTGGAATTTAAATCTTCCTTTTTGTCATAATATTTTCCTCTGTCACTCAAATTCAACAGAATCTAATTAGACTCTTTCTTCATTTGGGGTCTGTTAACCCCTTTACAAGAATAGATTTTTCTTTTTTTGGAGGTGGGGGGACGGAGTCTCACTCTGCCACTCAGGCTGGAGTGCAGTGGTGCGATCTCAGCTCACTCAACCTCCGCCTCCTGGGTTCAAGTGATTCTCCTGCCTCAGCCTCCGGAGTAGCTGGGGCTACAGGCGTAAGCCACCATGCCCAGCTAGTTTTTGTATTAGTAGAGACAGAGTTTCACCATGTTGGCTAGGCTGGTCTTGAACTCCTGACCTCAGGTGATCCGCCTGCCTCAGCCTCCCAAAGTGCTGGGATTATAGATAGATGTGAGCCACCATGCCCAGCATTGGATTTTTTTTTTTTTTTTTTTTTTTTTTTTTTTTTGGTGCTGGAGATCCCAAAGGACTAGATCTTTTTTGTGGCTGTCCTGAATAGTTTATGGGAATAGACAATGTCAATGTACTCTCCTTATGATCCCATAATGGAAGGGAAGTGTGGCCAAATTGCCACGTCTGCTGTTCTCATTCCTCGGTTGCTTCTGTGGAAAGTTGCAAATCATCCTCTGATCCACAGCATCCAACTGGAATTTAAATTTCAGAACTGGATCTAGTTGGAATCAAAGAGAATTAATTCCATAATAATTAGGTGGGTGTTGGTATTCCTTCTCAGTAAGCCATACAGAAGCTTGGTGCAGAGCCAAGTGGCTCTTGGGAGGCTGTGTCTCTAGGGGAGGCAATATTTTCCAGTGGATGGGCCTTTCATTACCAAGCTCTGCCTCACCTCTAATGGGTCAACCGCAGGGCTTCCACCAACTCAGGAAAGTGCTCTGTGCTCTAAAAAAAGGCTGGAATCCATGCTTTCCCCTTGGGCTACAAGTGAAACAATAACAGGAACTTCTCCACCCACCTCTGTCTGCCTCAGGTAGTTGAGGTTTTGGAAGCGAGTTGATTGTTTTTCAGTCTTAGGAAGATCCTGATCTCTCTTTTATCCAGCCCCCTCCAAAACAAACATACCTGGGCCTGTGTGGGTTCTCAGGGGCACAGTCCCGGCTGTTGGCTTTGGCGGGTCCCTGACTCCCTAAGAGAAGACGTGGATGCCCCATCCATGAAATAGCACAGACCTTCCACAGATAGTTCTCCTAAGCCCTTTGCTGGGCATAGGGGAATGGGGGCAAATAATTCTCATAGGAGCTGGATTCTCATCACCTAGAACAGAGCCTGGCAAGAGGTGGGAACTCAATGGGATAATATGTTTATGGAATAAGTGAGTGTGTGTCACATGACTCCAGTTTGCAGGCCAGCTTGTCACTGTTCTCTCTCAGGCAAATACACCCCCTTGACCTTCAACCTTCTTCCCTTCTGAAGTTTTGCAGTTCAATTCCACCAATATTTTTTTGAACTAGGGAGTTAGAAAGGTAAAGAAGACACGACTTACTATTAAATACTGAGTAGTTAAAAAAAAAAAATGCAGACCTGGGATCAAGTCCTACTTCTCCATTTATCTTCCCCCCCCCCCAACCCCAGACAGAGTCTCTCTGATGTCCAGGCTGGAGTGCAGTGATGCAAACACAGCTCATTGCAGCCTTGACCTCCCGGGCTCAAGCAATCCTCCCATCTTGGCCTCTGGAGTGGCTGGGACTCCAGACACATGCCACCATGCCTGGCTAATTTTTTAAAACTATTTTTTATAGAGACAGCATCTCACTATGTTGTCCAGGCTGGTTTTGAACTCCTAGGCTCAAGTGGTCCTCCCTTCTGCTCCCAAAGTGTTGGGATTATAGGTGTGAGTCACTGTGCCTGGGTTCCATTTACCTTTTTGATAACAGGAAGGTCACTTAACCTCTCTGAGCCTTAGCTCCTCATTATAAATGGGTAATAGTATCTATCTCAAAAGACTGTGGTGAAAATTAAACAACACATAGTACTTAGCACAATGTCTGGCACCTAGTAAGCACTCAATACATGATGATAATAACTACTAACGCTGAATTCATGCTAGGCACTATTCTAGGTGCTGAGGCTAAAGGAATACATAAGAAAATGACAGTTCTACAATATACATGTAAACAAATTGGACAATTCAACTAGTGACACGTATTATGAAAAAATAAGATAGATGATGGGAATGTGTGGGGTACAGTGACAAGAAATGCCCCCCACCCCAGGTGACATCTTAACTGAGACCTGAACGATAAGGAAAAGCCAACCGGTGAAAAGTCAAGGGAAGAATATCCCAGACAGAGGGAAGAGCTAGTCCAAAGACCTGGAGGCAGGAATGAGCAGGCAGTCAGAGATCAGCCAAAGCCAACATCCAGGAATGAGCTCTGTACATTCCAGGAGTGGCACAACCAGACCAGCATGGCTGGAATGAGGCAAGGGGGACAGCAACAGCAAGAAATAAGGCTGGAGATGCTGGTATGTGTGGCCATGAATGTCATTAGGATGAGTTTAGCTTTTGTTGTAAGAGTGATGGGAAGTCCCCAGGGAGTTGAAGTCAAGGAATAAGATAACCACTTTGGCTGCCTATGGAGAAAGTGAAGTGTGCGGAGAAGAGTGAGAGCAGGAACATTAGTCAATCGGCTATTGTAGTGATCCAGGCACGGATGATAGTGTCTTGGACTATAGTGATAGTACGAACAGGGAGAAAAGAGCAGATGTGTACATGTTTGAATTAGAGCTAACGGAGATGAGGGAGGTGGGGGATTGTATGGAGAAAAAAGGACACACAGGAATGATCTTAGGTTTTTGGCCTGAAAGACTGGGTGGATTTTCTGAGATGGAGAGGAATGGGTTTTGGGGAAAACATCAAAAGAAAACCCTTATACAAGGTAGGCTGGAATATGGCACAGTGACAGTACCAAGTGCAAAGGGGGAGTGGCAAGAGAGAGTGGCTAACTCTGGAGCTAAGGGGAATGTGGGAGGGTTAGGTGGAGAATGGAATTGGAACTAAGACTTGCAGGACAGGAGATGGGAGGGCTGCTGGTCCAGGTGAAAGGAGTGGTTTGAACCTAAGTCAAGGGCATGAGCAGGTACAATAAGCTCATTTTCAAATTTACACATGTGTTCCTGTCAGCTAAGAAAGCTGAAATTTAGAGAGGTTAAATAACTTGCCTAAATAAAATGTGGTAAATATACACCAAGGAATACTATGCAGCCACAAAAAGGAATGAGATCATGTCCTTTGCAGGGACATGGATGGAATTGGAAGCCATTATCCTCAGCAAACTAACACAGAAACAGAAAACCAAACACTGCATGTTATCACTTATAAGTGGGAGCTGAATGAAGACAGCACATATACACACGGGAGTCTGTCGGAGGGTAGGGGGAGGTGGGAGGAGGGAGAGCATCAGGAAGAATAGCTAATGGATGCTGGGCTTAATACCTACGTGATGGGATGATCTGTGCGACAAACCACCACGGCACACATTTACCTATGTAACAAACCACATCCTGCATATATACCCCTGATCTTAAAATAAAAGTTGGAAATTTGAAAAAAAAAAAAAAAAAAAAAACTTGCCAAAGGTGATACAGTTAGAAAGTGATAAAACAAAGATCCTCCCTCCAAAGCAGAAGTGCTGAATGGTGGAACTGAGCACAGAAATACAGAGTAGCAGAAGGGGCGGTAAGATTGGAAAGGTGAGGTTGGGCCAGATTCTGAAGGGGCCTGGAGTGCCAGAATGAAGAGACTGGGCCTTATTTTGTAGGCGTGGATGAACAGCATCCGTTGTAGGCTGTGCAATGGTCCTAAGTGGCATGATCAGCACTGTGATTTTGGAAAGTGCACTTGGTTAGATAGATGGGCTAGGCTGGATAACACTTCGTAATAATCGTGTCAGTCGCTGTACTAGATATTGGAGTTATAATGACAAGCAAAAACAGACAAAACCCTAGCCCACCTGGAAGAACTTGACAAAGTAATCAAATAAGCACACAAACAACTGTACAACCGGAACCACTGAGTGGCAAGTACATGGTGCTGAGATCACTCAGTCACCAGGATTTGACCTGCGATGGGGAACAACCTAGACTTCCCTGCTGAGAACTGGACATCCATTGACCCTGGTTCTAGGCCACCCACTGTGAGCTAGGGCAAGTCAATTGCCTCTCTGGACCTCAGTTTCCCCATTTATGAAGAAAGAGGCACTAGATAATTCAATTTTCCTTCAACTCTAACGGTCTGGGATTTTTTCCTCCAAAGACCACAGATCTGTATCCCACTACAAGGCTACTAACTGGTACCCAGTGTTTTGACATTAGAAAAGCAATTCCGCCATTGCCTCTCCCTACCGGGAAGAGTCGGTGGGGTCCCCCTTGTCAGGGGAACCGCCCGCCCCCCTCCTCTCCTTTCCCGCGGCTCCTCTGCGGAAACTCAGGAGCTACGCCAGCAACTACGTCACTATCATGCGTCCCACTTGCCAGGTTATAACATGGCTACCGCAGCGACATCCCACCCAGGCTTCTCACTAAATATCCCAACCTGACCACCGCTTGGGCCCACTCCAGCTCAGAAAAGGGAGGAACATTAGCGCCGGCACAGCGGCCAAGACTTCCGGAAGCTCCATCAGTCACTTAGCTCCCCTGGTCTCTCGGGTAGGCATCCGCCCACCGCCTTTCGTCACTTCCGTCGGCCGATTGCGCCCAAGATTGACAGGCGCGGACTTCCAGTCAGATGCGGGCCCAGCCCCAAAACCGAGGCGAGGGGCGGGTTTGAGAGCGGAAAGCCCCACCCCTTGCCTGCGTGTGACGTCAGAATCGCCATGGCCAGCTATCCGTACCGGCAGGTGAGTGTGTGAGGGACCCGCGAATCCAGGTAGCGGCCGTGCCAAGCGCAGGCCCGGCGCCCTCCTGCTCTTTTTCCCCGCTTTCTCCGCGCCCTTCCCACGATGGGTTCGCTTCAGCGAGGCCTCGCGCTGTAGAGAACCGAAAAGGGACCGTCGGTCGCGCCCGGCTCACGTCATGAAGGACCGCACATTCGCGAGGTCGTGTCGCGTCCCCTTTGACGTCGCTCACGCGAGGATTTGGGGACCTTGGACCCCACAGGTCCAGGTTGGCGCTGGCCTGGGCTCCACAGCCTCCCAAGGCCCCCACGGGGGCCTTGGGCGGGGGCATCAGCCATGACCGGACGTTTAGAGTTCTGGTTCCGTCGATCTAGTTTGGGGCGTCGGATAAAAATCCAGGCTTCCGGACCCACCCCACACTGCATCAGAGTCATCAGGAAACTTTGGTCGTAGCAGGCGCCACAAGTGAGCTGGTTTGACCACTGACTTAGTTCAGCACCGCCATTTCGCATGTAGAAAAGTGAACCCCGAGAAGACACAGAACTTACCTGAAGTCACCAGGCAGTTAGGCAGCAGGGCCGAGGTCAGAACCCGGGCTGCCTTCAGATTCCTCTTCCCCAGCGTATATTCAGTGAGGAATACCACAGCAAGGTGATTCTGTGGCCAGAATTGTTTGTTGGGTGATAGTAGGGTGTTGAAGTGCACTTTGGAGTCAGAGGTAGGTTCATACCTTAGCTCTACTACCTAAATAGTTGTGAGCCCTTGAGCAAGATGTTTTGCCTTTCTGAGTCCAAGTATCCTCCTGTAAAATAGGGCCGAATAATAGGATCTGCCTCATAAAGCTATTGTGGAGAGTCAGGAGGTGATGCTTACGAAGTGTTTGGTACATAGTGAGGTGTAACAAGTGTTGCCCTTTAGCATTTTGATTTTTACTAGACTTCTGAAAGGCCAGTGCCCGGAGGGTCCTCAAAATAGACCCCTCATTTTACAGAGGAGGAAATGAAGCCCACAGAGGCCTGCGATCGCACAGTTATTTAGGAGATGAAACCCGTGCAGGAAATTTGGGAAAACAAGGTCAACTGGTATATTACACAGTGCTCAGCTGAGTATAGTCACATGCCAAAAGATGTAACAGCCCTTCCAAAGAGTGCAGTCTTGTACGGGTTACACAGTATTTGGACCTCCATTATCCTAATCACGAAGGCTCTATCGGCAAGCAGGTATTATTACCCCTAATTAACTGCTAAGGAACAAACCCAAAGAGGTTAAGTGGCTTCCCAGAAGTCACATGTAGTGAGGGTGAGGCCATGACCAGAGCTTAGGACTTCTCTTATTGCATCCGTAGAGAGATGTAGGAAAGAGGCCACTGCAGGCTGGAGTTAGGAGGAAGTGTAACATAGCAGTTGTTTCCTAAAGTCCGTTCCGTTTGCTGAGTCTTGTGAGGTATTAAGAGATATTGTTAATATAGGAGGATTCTGTAGTTAACTAAAGTTTTGGAAATACTCTTCTTTAAGTATAGCTGAATAAGTTTGTTGACCACAAACAATTTCAAAATTCTTAATTTGCTAATGTACATGGTAAATCTTCCAGAAAGGAATATAATATGCAGTATTTCTTAAACACATTTACCAATAGAAACTCCCCCTTCCCTCTTTCTTTTCAGATGTCTGGTCACTTTTTGTGACTCTAGTATTTCTGAGCAACACAGGCTGAGAAAACATTCATAGTGCCTTGTTTCCCAGTGGCTGGTCTTCTGCCACAGAATCACCTGAGAGCTTGTTTAAGAAAGCACGCTTTCGGGTCCCGCTTCAGACCTGTTCTGTACCCAGGAATCTACATACTAATAAGCATTAGGGACAATTTGTGTGCATCCTAAAAACAGTGACAGGTTAGACAGAACTGTGCTGGAATTCTAGCTGTGTTAATAGTTATATACCCTTGGACAAACTAAGGGCTCTAAGCCTCAGCTTCCTCACCTGTTATATAAAGGGAGAAATAATACCTGTGAAAAGGGCTAAAATGAGGTTGAAATGCAGGGAGCCTGGCACGTTGCTAGTGCCTAGTACATGCCAGTGTCTGGTGGCAGCTCTTGCTGCTGTGACTGCTCTCATGATGCTATGCTGCCTGGGCTATTCTTGGAGTGAAATACTGAAAAGGAGCACAGAGAGAGGAGTCTGGAATAGAAAAAGAAATGTTGCTTTTTTTCCTACCATACCCTTGTCCGCCTCCTGGTCTCAGGTGTTCTAAGAAAGGAAACCGGTTGTTTTAGAGCATCTCAGTCAGTGCTGCCTCCCCTCCACCCACTACATAGCTTTGGAGGATTCCAGCCTATTGTTAGGAGTCAGAATTCCTGTAATTTTCCACTGCTTCCAGTACAGGGTACCCAAGCAGGGACTGGGTATTGGAGTAGTAAAATTCAGGCACCCTTTGGTCTTATAGGGGAACCACCTTGGTGGATTTCAGTGCTTAAGAGCTTAGTTTCTGAAGCCAGAGAGAGTTGGTGTCAAATCCCTGCTTTGCCACTCCTTTGCAGAAGTTTGTTGCAAAAATCTGAGACTCAGTTTTCCCTTTTTTAAAAAAAACATTTTTATTTATTTATTTATTTTTGAGACAGAGTCTCGCTCTGTCACCCAGGCTGGAGTGCAGTGGCACAATCTTGGCTCACTGCAACCTCTGCCTCCCGGGGTCAAGCAGTTCTCCTGCCTCAGCCTCCCAAGTAGCTGGAATTACAGGTGCACGCCACCACACCTGGCTGATTTTTTTTGTATTTTTAGTAGAGATGGGGTTTCGCCATGTTGGCCAGGTTGGTCTCAAACTCCTGACCTCAGGTGATCCACCTGCCTCAGCCTCCCAAAGTGCTGGGATTACAGGCATGAGCCACCATGCCTGGACTAGTTTTCCCTTCTTTAAAATGGAGTCATAATAGTATATACCTCAGAATTACTCTAAAGATTAAATACGATAATCCATGTAAAGTGCCAGGTATGGTGTTGGGCATGTAGAATACTCCCAAGTGGAGGAGTAATGCAGTTATGCAGATTGAAGAGGCAATGTGATAAGTATTAAATGGGAGTAAGCGTAAGGTACAGCACCGGAGAGTGAGATACCTAACTCAGTCTAGGGGTACATCAAGCCTTTTTAAAAAGAGGTGATATTTAAGTCAAAAACTGAATCACTGGTAGAACTTAGCTGAGTGAAGAAAGGAATGATATTCCAGTGGAGGAAATAGCTGCACAAAGCCCAGGAAGCAAGTAAGACAGCCTAGGATTTTGGAGGAAATTTAAGAAGTTCAGTGTAGTTGTAGTGATGTGGGGGAAAGGGGTGGGAAATTAGACTAGAAAGGTAAGCAAGGGCCAGATCCCAAAGGGACTTGTGTGCGTTTTTGGGGAGTGTGGCTTCATCCTAAGAGTAGGGAGGGAGCCAGTGAAGTGTTTTGTCCCATTTGTACTTCAGAGCGCTCACCGTGGGGTGCTGTGAGAATGGATTGAAGCAGGAGAAACAGGAAGCAGGGATACCGGTTTTGACGCTATTGAGGTAATCTAGGCTAAAGAGAACTGTGACCTGGTAGAGGAGATTTGAGAAGCACGTAGGAGGTAGAGTTGAGAAAACTTGGTGCCTAAGTAAGGTGACAGAGAGGAAGAAGGAGGAGGTTCCCAGGAGGGCACTAAGGCTTTAGGTTTGTATGATTAGGCGGAAAGGGGCCCCATTCACTGAGATGAGAACACAGGGAGGCAGGGGTTTGGAGGGAAGGTCCAGGAGGCTGCTGGTCTGTAGCTCCGGAGTGATAAAGCTGGAAAGATTTGAAAGTGTGAGCACAGAGGTAATTGAAGTCTGGGGATGGTTCTTGGCTCATTGTTTATTGGTTGCATACTTCTCTCCTATTTCAGGTGGCTCTGCTGGTGAATGCTTGAACCATTCCTTTTGTCTAGTGATTGTTTAACCCCTTAGTTTGGGCTTCCCACCTCCTCCCATGCACTTGAAGAGTAGCTCTGGGGTGCAGACCTGTCTTTGCAATGCTCCCTCCTCCATTCGTCGTCAGGGCTCAGCTTGGAACAGCCTTTGATACCTTTGAGCTTTACAGGGTCTTGAGGTTAGAAGAGTGAGTCCTCAGAACTGGAAAGAAAAAAGAAAAAAAACCCAGGACTTTCTGAGGTGGTTATTTGGGAGGAGGTAAGCTCCCTACTGCTTGCACGAGTGCAAGTAGAGATTCCACGTGGTGCTGCAGAGATTCCATTATTAACTGAGAGGTTGGACTGAAGAATCTTTGGGGTGTCTTACAAAATGTGGCTCTCGAACTGGGTCTAGGTGCTGGGATGAAAAAGAATAAGATTTTCCTGAGACTCCCTGATTTCTGGGCTTGAAGGCTCTGAGAGATCACCTAATCCAGCCTTCCCCCTCTACCTCTGTCCACGGTAGAAATTCATTATATTTGACAAAGACATTTAGCACAATCCCTCGCACAGACACATGCTAGGCTCTCACTCATTTATTGAGTGAACAAACAGGAGGGGGTAGTGTAGAGTCATGCAGACCCTGACTGGAATCCCAACTCACCCATTCTAGCTACATGATCTCAGGTATGGTATTAAACTCTCTGCCCCTTAATTTTCTCATCTGCAAAATGGAGATGATAGTGTTTACCTCACAGGACTGAGGATCAGTGAGAGCTGATTGAACTGGAAGCCCCTAGCAGAGCCTCAATAAATGTTCATTGCCCCCCGCTCCCCCAGGGTGTCAGATGTAGCTTATTTGCAATCAGCCAGAGCCCTAGAGATAGTTTTTCTGTGTTGCTTCAGAAGCTGCAGTTACTGAACTCTTCCTGTCTTTTTTCTCCCACTTCACAATCTTGTGTTTATCGGTATGAAATAACTCTTGGAAAAGCTCTGAAAAGGGCTGGGAGCATGGAGTAGTGTAAAAGAACCTGGAGTCAGGGACGCTGTTTTTCATTTCTGGTTCAGACCTTTGCTGACATGTCAGTGACACTGGGTGACCCTCTGTGAGGCAGGGACCACCTCATCTTCTTCCCCAAACTTCCTGTGTAGCCTGGATTCTGTCTCAGTTGGCTCCACCTCCTTCATCTTGTGCAAGCTAGAAAAACCCGAGTCATTCTAAACACTTTCCTCACTCCTCCATCTCTTTCCTAATCTAATTAGTCACCAAGTCATGTCTGGTCTATCTCTGAAATAGCTTCAGAATCCATTCCGTTCTCTTCATCCCCCAGTGTGCTGTCTGGTTCATGCCCTGCCTGCCCAACACCTGGGCTACTGCCTCCCTCGCTGGCTCATCCTCCACACCGCTGCTGGCTACTTCCCTAAACAAGGTTCTGATCACGTTCCTCTCCTATTGGAAACCCTTCTATAGTGCTCTCTTTTCTCCGGCATAAAGCCCCAACCAAACCCTTTAGAGTGGTGTTCATTTGTTCAAATATTTGTGGAGACTTGCAGGTGCCAGGCACTGTGCTGGGCCCTGGGGTACCATGATGAGTGAGGCCCAGTGTCTGTCCCTTGGGAGCTTGCTGTTGGATGGGGGAGATGCTAGACAGACAGAAACTACTCTTAGACACTGATACCTCACAGCTAACTGAAATGCAGTGGGAGAGGTGCTTGGTCAAGGAGTGTATAAAGGGCCTGCCTTTCTGGGTTCACAAGACATTTTTGGCTCTGCAGTTTAACTCATTCCCTGAATGCACTATGCTCACTCTGAAGTCTGTGCCTTTGTCTTTCTTCTCCCTTCTGTCTGGAGTGTCCTTCCCTGCCTGCCTTTTGGAGAATGCCTATGCATCCTTCAAGGACCAATTCCAATATCACTGCCACTTCCTCCAGGAAGCTTTTCTTGATCCACCTCATGCGTTGTTTATTTATTCATTCTTCAAACAGCACAAAGTCCTCCATCTAAGCTTCCTTGATAGCACATAAGTAGATTTTTCTGAATGTCACTGATCAGATTGTATCACAATTTTCTGTGGGCTCCTTAAGGACACGACTTCATTTAGTTGTGTCCTCAGATCTACCACAGAGCCTAGTACAATATCGTCACTCTGAAAATGTGTGCCAAATGAAGTCCTTTAACAGCTCTGTGGCTTAGTTTCTTCATCTGTAAAAGAGGCCAACTAACATCTTCCTTTTTTCTATTAGGAGGCCATTGGCAAAATTCTGCCAGTAGTGTTTGTGTTTGTGAAAGTACTTTGTAAACTACAGAGGAGGTCTTTAATGCAGGACGGAAAGGAAAGGGTTTAATTGCTGCCAGACTACAGTAGCCGGAAGGGCAGGAGACCTGCCTGGCGCACCTGCTTTGTTGGCCTGGGGGTGTTTCTTGGGTGGTTTATAGGTGGTTTCCTAGGTGCCAGATGCAGTTTATAGCTTTGTTCACAGGGCTTATAGTGGGGCAGCTACTTCTGGCTTCATGTCTGGCCTGTTCTTTGGGTGTGCCCAGATTCTGTAAAGTCCCCACTCCCTTTCCATCCTATGCTAGAATCCTGAGCCCTATTGCTTAAGGAAGGAACATTGTAGCAGGAGGCAGGGGGAGTCCTTGGGTGCAGAGGAGTGGTCCAGCCTTGTCTCTGCCTCCAGCTCACAGCATGACTTGGGCAAGTCCCTCCCTCCTCCCCGTCTGTCAAATGAGGGGGTTAGGTTAAGTGACTTGTCTTCTGGGTATTTCTCTTATCACACCTCTCCAACCCCTTGGGAATCTTGTTCGTTCTCTAAGCCCTAGCTCAAATGCCACTCTCATGGAAACACTCCCTGATTTTGCCCTCCTTCCTTTGCAGCCCTGTGGCACATGACTTATGTCTCCATTTCAAACACCTATTTTCCTTATGCTGTTTTGTTAGACATCACACAGTGTCTACATATTAAGTCCTGTTAACTGTGAGCTCCTTCAGATTGCTTCACTCTCCTTTATACCCCACCCCCCACAGTTCACCTGGCCCAGGATTTTGCTGATAATAGTAATTAATATAACAATAGCAGCTATGACTTATTGATCATTTGCTTTATGCCAGGCACTGTTGTAAAAACTATTTTTCTTATGTGAGTGGTTTTCAGACTGTCTTTTCAGTCACTGTGAGGGTTCTTCAGAGCCCCTCAGAATCTAGCAAGGGAAGGGGGTTCCATATGGTAGGGCTCTGGAGCCCCCACCTTACTTCAGCCAGAGCAACTTTCTTGTATTAGTTTTATTTATTTTATCAAAGGATTCTTTCTTTCTCTTTTTTCTTTTTTCTTTTTTGGAGACAGGGTCTCTCTCTGTTACTCAGGTTGGAGTGTTGTGGCACAGTCACAGCTCACTGCGGCCTCCAACTCAGGCTCAAGTGATCCTCCCGCTTTAGCCTCCCAAGTAACAGGGACTACTGGTGTACCACCATGCCCAGCTGATTTTAAACATTTTTTTGTAGAGGTGGGATCTTACTATGTTGCCCAGGTTGGTTATCAAAGGATTCTTTAGCTAAAAATTAAACAGAATTTTGCTGCATTTATTTCTTATACTCTTCAGAACAGTCCAATGAGGAAGGAATTGTTCTGTTTGTGAGGAAGCAGGCTCAGAGAGATGAAGCCACAGGCCCACAGTCATGAACTCAGCTGATGGGAGCAGAGTTTTAAATTGAGATCTGTCTGACCCATTCTTGTCTGTGAAGGAGTCTTGCTAGTATAGTAGCTCTGACAGCTTCTAGGGAGGAAAAGCTCCCAAGGATTGCTGAGTTGGGGAGGTGACAGGGCCTGCTTCCTGCTCTCCCCACAAAAAACCTCATGAATTTGGCCTTAGCCTTAAGAGTAATTATCTCAAGCTATCAAACACAACAAAAAGAGAAAGCGCAGGCTCTCGGCAGCTTGGCCACTGGTGCACTCACAGCTTGATCTAGAACATATCTAGATGGTGCCATCCTCGGAGCTGGGCCTAGCTGCTGTCTGTGCCCTTGAGTTCAGCTTGTCTGCAGATGTGTTGGGGCTGTGCTCTGCTGCATCCTGTGCTAGCCATTTAGGGAGATGGAGCGGAACACTCCGAGCCTCAGGGATCCCTGGCTATTGGTGTGGGAAGATGGATGAGAGAGGGAATGCCCCCATGTATGTTCTAATGCACAGATGCCCTGGACATAGAGCCAAGAGACCCAGGTTCTGGTCCCAGCCCCTCCACACAGCCTGTGTGTGACTTTCCTGGACTTGAGTCTTGTCCTCTGTAGGAGGCTATTATTAATAGTGTTTATTGAGTGCTTAATCTGTGTCAGGCCCTGTGTCATGACTGGCCTCATTTCATTCACAAACTAACCTGAGAGGTAGCTTTATTATTCCCATTTTACAGCAGAAGATATTGAGGTTTAGAGAGGATAAGTCAGTCCAGTTAGTAAGTGGCAGAACCTGAACTTGAACTCTTGAACTGGTTGTTTTTTGTTTGTTTGTTTTGAGACTGGGTCTTACTCTGTCACCCAGGCTGGAGTACAGTGGTGCGATCATGGCTCACTGTAGCCTCGATCTCCCCAGGCTCAGGTGAGCCTCCCACTTTAGCCTCCTGAGTCACTGGGACTATAGGTGTACATCACCACACCTGGCTAATTTTTGTATTTTTTTAGTAGAGATGTAGTTTTTCTATGTTGCTCAGGCTGGTCTCTAACTCCTGGGCTCAAGCAGTCTGCCTGCCTCAGACTTCCAAAGTGCTGTGATTACACAGGTGTGAACCACCACGCCTGGCTGTTGAGTTCAAACCACAGTTTAAACCACTGTATCATATTGCCTTAGAAATAGGGTCTCCCCTGCCTGCCTCACAGAGTTGTGAGTGAGGATAGGGAAACGTTTTTACATTAGGGTAAGGAAGACATGCTGTGGATGAATCCATGCTATAGCTATGTCATTTGTCCCTGATGAGAGTCAGGGGTGTGTGTTAGAGACTACATTTGCCCCATGAGTTCTGCAAATAGAGATGGGAGTACCACAGGATGGACATTTAGAATTCTGTTTGATTCATTTGCCTATTCATTCATACAGGAAATATTTACTGAGCATCCATTCTACACTGGGAGCTGGGGATAAAGTAACAAACCAGACAGGATCCCACCCTTTGGTGTGCAGGAAAGGAGAGTTAGGAAAGGAGGATTTCAACCCTGATTCTGCAAGTCATTGGCAGTGTGACTTTGGGTAACTCGTTGCTCCTCTGGAAGCCTCAGTTTACCCACCTGAGCAGTGAGATCGTAATTCCAACCCTGCCTATAGGATCAGTTGAAAGGATGGTGGTGGAAGTGCTTTATGGCTGTGAAGTGCCATACTCTGCCTAGTTTCTGGCCTCATCATTCTGACTGATAATCTTGCTCTTCCTACAGGGCTGCCCAGGAGCTGCAGGACAAGCACCAGGAGCCCCTCCGGGTAGCTACTACCCTGGACCCCCCAATAGTGGAGGGCAGTATGGCAGTGGGCTACCCCCTGGTGGTTATGGGGGTCCTGCCCCTGGAGGGCCTTATGGACCACCAGCTGGTGGAGGGCCTTATGGACACCCCAATCCTGGCATGTTCCCCTCTGGAACTCCAGGAGGACCATATGGCGGTGCAGCTCCAGGGGGCCCCTATGGTCAGCCACCTCCAAGTTCCTATGGTGCCCAGCAGCCTGGGCCTTATGGACAGGGTAAGTAGTGATCTTGGACTCTGGGTACCTCTTGATGTGGGTCTGAGTTATCCATGGCCAGCCCTTGTCCTTCCTGTGGGTGTGCAGGCAGCCTGGTCTCTGGCACCTTAGCACCTTACTTCCAGCTTCAGTGTGTGTCCTTAAAATGAGAAGTCTGTCAGCTAGTTTTGTTGCAAGCATTTGTTTGTATTACTTGCTCACGCTTACTTTCTTTTGCTTATATGTCAGCAGCTGTTAGTTGGCTGTTAAGTTTCTGTTCCGTGTGTGTTTTCATTCAGGGATCCATGCTGAAGGAGCAGCTCCTGTTTGGGATATGTTATCTTTGTGGCAGAGAGAAAGAGCAGGAGAGCTAGCAGGAATGCACAATGCCTCTAAAAGTGTCTCTGAAGTACTGTATGTCTTGCCCACTCGCATTCTTTTGGCCAGAGCACCCCCTGATCAAGACTGACATCAGTAGGATGGGAATGGATGCCCCTCTGCAAGCCACCAGGCAGTGGGAGAGGTTGTACAATGCTCTTATAGGGAAGGGGAGATTAGCAAATAATCTAATAATAGATTATTGAACTGGCCTTTTCAACCATTGTACCATATTAGTACAATGTCTGTGGGTGTGCAGACTGTGTCTCCTGGCTAGAGATTATTAGCCAGGAGAGGATAATATAGCCTACCACGGGGAGAAACTCAGTTTAAATATCCGTTTTTCTGTGAAAATATCTCAGAATACACACATTCCAGGCTCTTTGCTGAGGATTTTATTTTACTGTTATCTCATTTAATCATCACAACGATTCTGGGGAAATGGGTTCGTTTTAGAAACGTGGAAGTCATTATTCAGAAAATTAAACATTTTGCCTAACGTCACATAAGCTAGTAAAGATCAGAACTAGGGTTTGAATCCAGGTCTGCTTTGATTCCAAAGCCTGAGCTCTTCTATACAAACTACACAGATCAAACATGTTACAGAATCTCTCCTGCCCCAGGGCTGTGGCCCTTGCTCCCCTATGACACCGATGTTTTAGGATGACGGGTAGAACCTGCCTGGATTTTCCCAAGGAGGTCAGACTAATCCCTAAGTCAAGCAGATCTTTTTCCGTCTGTCCTTACTGAACTTTGTTACTAGGCAGTGGTTTCTGTCTTCCACAACTGCCCCTGGCTGTCTTTGTGTGAAGGGACCCTTATTGTGGCCAGTTAACTCAGTGTCCTAAGATAGACAGACTTACCAGCTTCTACACCTTTTTTTTTTTTGTTTTTGAGATGGAGTTTCGCTCTTGTTGTTCAGGCTGGAGTGCAATGGCGTGATCTTGGCTTACCACAACCTCCACCTCCCGGGTTCAAGAGATTCTCCTGCCTCCATCTCCCCAGTAGCTGGGATTACAGGCATGCGCCACCACGCCTGGCTAATTTTGTATTTTTAGTAGAGACGGGGTTTCTCCATGTTGGTCAGGCTGGTCTCGAACTCCCGACCTCAGGTGATATGCCTGCCTCGGCCTCCCAAAGTGGTGGGATTACAGGCGTGAGCCACCGCACCCGGCCACTTCTACACTTTTATCTGCCACCCATTCCCCCCTATCTCGCAGTTCACCTTTTCCAGAGAATTCTTGAAATGCTACAGGAGTATGGGTCCCTGTTCCTTAAAAACATAAAATCAATTAAGAGTAGTGTCTGGAACATTATACAAGAACTCCAGAGGACTCATGGAATAGAAATCAACTGCAAATACTCATGAATCTTCACTGAAAGTCCTCTTCCATCAGAGTAAGAATGTCAGCTTGGTGGAAGACAGGGAAGGTGAATTTGTGAGGCTTTGTGTGTAGGAAAAACCTGTAGCCAGGAAGTTACTGAGGCTGGCCCTTCCTGGCATTTCTGTTGATGGCCTTCACACCCCTTCCTCCAGGTGGCGCCCCTCCCAATGTGGATCCTGAGGCCTACTCCTGGTTCCAGTCGGTGGACTCAGATCACAGTGGCTATATCTCCATGAAGGAGCTAAAGCAGGCCCTGGTCAACTGCAATTGGTCCTCATTCAATGATGAGACCTGCCTCATGATGATAAGTGAGTCTCCGCCTTGCCCTTGGGCCCGAGCTGGGGCAGAGCCACCTGATAGTGTATAGTAGTTGGGTAGGTAGACATTCTGAAGAGAAATTCATTGACCAGGGAGGACTGCGGGGAGGAAGCTAGGTTCAGGGTGAGATCCCCTAGACTGAGAGCTCTTTTCCTGAGATCTTTCTTAAGTTCTAGACCCTGCCTAGTTACAGGCTAACTCAGTTTCCTCTTCGTAGAATGGTACTCCCTCCCCTGGTAGGAAACAGCAGGGGGAGGGGTCAGGTGCCAAGGCTGCAGAGAAAATGCAGTTCTGGATGGGGTGGGGCTAAAGGTGTCCAGAGTAGGAGGACGGTGCAACGCTTGATGTGGGTGTCTCAGGTGCAAGCATCTAGGCCCTAGGCCTTGGTTCTGTGAAGTCGCCTACTCCAGCCTGGGGAGAAGGGCTGCCTCAGTGGGGCCTGAGGGGGACCCTTGGCTTTCAGTCTTGAAGCCTTCCTTCCCTCCTTTCCCTCCTCACCTTCAGACATGTTTGACAAGACCAAGTCAGGCCGCATCGATGTCTACGGCTTCTCAGCCCTGTGGAAATTCATCCAGCAGTGGAAGAACCTCTTCCAGCAGTATGACCGGGACCGCTCGGGCTCCATTAGCTACACAGAGCTGCAGCAAGGTGCGGGTCATGGCTGGGGCACGATGGGCAGGACAGAGCTAGACTCTTCTCTACACCCTAAGATACACAAAGAGATTTTCTCTTGCTACCGAATGTCCACCTGCACTACAGAATGCTGTTCTCAGTGCAGGCCTGCGTCCCTCACCCCTTCTGTGACCCAGTTGGGGCATTGAGCCAAGATCCAGGGCAAGGAAACACCTGGGTCCAGAATCAGGGCTGGACCCTGGAGTGCTGGGTGAGATGGGCCCAGCCACAGGGAGCCTTAAGGATGGAAAATTGGCACCTTAAGGGCTATGAGACCAGTGTGTGTGGCTGAGGTGACTCCTTCCTCTCCAGTTTCTAGCATGTAGAATGGAAAGAGCCCTGAACAGGGCTCAGAAAGATGGGTCTGTTGCCACCCCAGCTAGTGGGCAGTTTCTCTCCCAACTTTGGGACCCCGAGCACTCTAAAAGTTGCAGTTGGGGAAGATGACCTGAGGCCACAGCCCCAGGTCTGGTTCCAAACTGACTCTGTAAGGCAGGAGGCCACAGTTTGGGCTCAGGCAGGTTAGTAAGAGGTGGGGGGGGAGGACCCAAGAGGGAGCTTTGCCACCCAGGAGGGAGAAAGGGCTCCCCAGAGAGTCTAGTCCTTTGCCTAGGCTGTGGATTTCATTCAGACTAAGGAGGTCTGTGGGCAGGAGTGAGTGCACCACATCTGCCACCAGCAGAAGGGAGGGGAGATGGCCTATAGTAATGACCTACTCTTGCCAGCTTTTGCCATGGATATTAGTAAGGGTGATAGTAACCACAGCAAAACAGATATTTACTGAATGCTTGCTATTTTTAATAGGCTTATGTGATTCATTCTTCCCATGTGCTAGGTACTATTTATAATTCCACACCCTTCAATTAAGAATCCCTTGTTATCTCCCTTTTACAGGTGAGAAAACTGAGGTTTAGTGTGGGTAACCTGCCTAAGGGCCTGCATAACAAATGGAGAGTTGAGGTTTTAGCCTGGCCTGGTAAGTTATGAACAGAGGAAGGAAGGAAGCAAGCATCCCAGTGAAGAGACAGGATGCTCCAAGAGACCTTGGAGTGGCGGTGACTTTATTAAAATAGCACTTACTGAGTGCTTTTTATGTGCCAGTCACTGTGCTAAGTAGCTTTACATGATCACCCATTTTAATCCTTCCTAGAACCTACAAGTTAAGTATTATCCCCATTTTAGAGATGATAAGATAGGGATAGTGAGGCTAAGCAACTTGCCCAGGGGCTGACTCCAGAGCGGGTCCTCATACCTCTGCTGTGCTGCCTCTGATGTCTGCCCCAAGCAGGGTGGTCCTGGGAGCTCAGGCTTCCTTTTGGAATGCAAGTGAGTCAGAGATGATAGTGGATAGTCTGTTGTCATCTCTGGAATCCCATGAGCCTCAGTTGAAGAGACAATAATGGAGACTGGGAGAAAGAGGGATGAGGGCCTTTCACCTAAGGGTAGCATCCAGACAGGGCCCCTGTTGTGTTCCTGATATCTTAGACCCTTGGGATTTCTCTGCCCTCTTTATGCTTCTGTGCCCGTCCTCTCGAAGTTCCTTGAACTGCTGTGATCCAGTATTGCTGATTGATGGAGGTGCTCATGGCAGGTTTTTGTGTGTCTGGTCTGTGTGCCCCTCTTCTCCAGCTCTGTCCCAAATGGGCTACAACCTGAGCCCCCAGTTCACCCAGCTTCTGGTCTCCCGCTACTGCCCACGCTCTGCCAATCCTGCCATGCAGCTGGACCGCTTCATCCAGGTGTGCACCCAGCTGCAGGTGCTGACAGAGGCCTTCCGGGAGAAGGACACAGCTGTACAAGGCAACATTCGGCTCAGCTTCGAGGACTTCGTCACCATGACAGCTTCTCGGATGCTATGACCCAACCCATCTGTGGAGAGTGGAGTGCACCAGGGACCTTTCCTGGCTTCTTAGAGTGAGAGAAGTACGTGGACATCTCTTCTTTTCCTGTCCCTTTAGAAGAACATTCTCCCTTGCTTGATGCAGCACTGTTCCAAAAGCGGGTTGAGAGTCCTGGATCATAGCCACCAAATAGTGAGGACCGGGGCTAAGGCCACACAGATAGGGGCCTGATGGAGGAGAGGATGGAAGTTGAATGTCCTGATGGCCATGAGCAGTTGAGTGGCACAGCCTGGCACCAGGAGCAGGTTCTTGTAATGGAGTTAGTGTCCCGTCAGCTGAGCTCCACCCTGATGCCAGTGGTGAGTGTTCATTGGCCCATTATCGTTACTACCTGTGTTCCCTCACCAGGCCATCCTGTCACACGAGCCCATTTTCTCCAAAGTGGAATCTGACCAAGCATGAGAGAGATCTGCCCATGGGACCAGTGGCTTGGATTCCGCCACACCCATAAATCCTTGTGTGTTAACTTCTAACTGCCTGGGGCTGGCCCTGCTCAGACAAATCTGCTCCCTGGGCCCCTCTGGCCAGGCTCTGCCTCCGCGGCTGGGACCCCTCACTTGCCTGCCATGCCCTGCTCGGCTTCAGTCTCCAGGGGACAGTGGGCACCTCTCTCTGCCAATACTTTTTTTAATTTGCATTTTTTTTCATTTGGGGCCAAAAGTCCAGTGAAATTGTAAGCTTCAATAAAAGGATGAAACTCTGGGGTTCCATGTTTTCCACCGTGATTTCTCAGCTACAGGTCCATCCACTCCTTCTTTCACTGACTATGTAAGTACATCCTATACACCAGCCATGCGGAAAGCAGCAGCTTGTGGGGACATGGCCTATGTGGGGCTCCTATCCACTGCCAGAGGGAAGTGAAGTGTAGGGTAGCCAGCTGGGGGCCCTGCCGGGTTCAGTTCAGTATGGCCTGAAGGTCTATTCAGGAAGCTATTTCATAGCAGTTTTAGGGCAGGCATTCTGGGTTGAAAGCAGCTACCTCAAACTTCATAGCCTGGCCTTTCTATTTTCTCAGGCCCTAGTTTTATCTTCCAGACAAACTCCATTTATTAAGTCATAACTTTCCCCCCATTTTTATTAAGCACAGACATCTGTACTTGCAAGTCAGATCTTTAGATCAGCATAATACCCAGTCTACACCGAGTGTCTGTAATGAGCTGACCACATTTCAATCAAAAGCCAAAGACACCAGACATTCTAGTTTGCCAGGGGGCTTTATTCTGGGTAATGGTGATTATCTTTTGGCTTTTTGAGATAAAGAGCTCTGAGGCCCTGTGCAGGGCTCTCCTCCCTGCAGTGGGTAGTTGGAAGTAACTATGACTGTTTTGCAGGTCAGTGAGGCCCAGCAGTGTGTCGGGCTTAGCCAGGTCAGCTGCATTCTCCTCTGGGCTGCTGTAGTGCTAGAATCCCAGCATTAGATGGAATCCGGTTCCCAGAGGCCAGCCCCTATCCAAAGCTATAATTCCCTTCATAGGCCCCATGTGAGTCTGGCCTCTGCTTCGCCAAAGGCAAAGAACCCAGTGCCTTTCCAGGCAACCCATTTCCTCCATGACTGGCAGAACATCTTCCTGGTGTGGATTCTAAATCCTGCCATCTTGAAGATACCACCATTGGCTGTGGTTTTCTCTGTGGGCCACTCAGGACATACATCACCCTTTCTGCATGGCAACCCTCTACATAGTGGAGCCTGCCCTATATACCACATTTTCCCCAAGTCCTCCCTTCCCTAGGCCAGATAGCCCCGGGCTCTTGAGCAGTCCCTCGCTGAGCATCTCTCCCCTCGGCATCCTGTTCACCTCCCCTGAATTTTCTTCAGTTTATCTGAGTCCCCCAGAGTGGAGGGCTGAGGCCCCCCATGGTGCTGGGTTCAGCCAGCAGAGCGTGGAGTAGAACTGCAGCCATTAGGAGCAGCGCCTGTTGTTTCTTTGTTCCCACTGAACCAAGTGTCTGCTGAAACCCGATGGTGCCAATTGTAGTCTCTCACCTTTGTGCTCAGCTGAGGCTGAGGAGCCCAAGACCTGGATTGATCTTATGAGCATGGTTGGTTGGTTCTGAGCTTGGGGGCCAGCTGTCACACCTCATCCTGCACACTCACCTCCAAGCCTGCCTACGCACTGTGCCAACCGCTTTGGATCCTATGGCCCAGTGGGAGTGTGGAATGGGCAGGAGAACCCATCGTGGCAGCAGCTGGAGCTCTGCGCTGTCCACAGAGAGCTGGGCTGGTAAGTCGTGTGGAGAGCAGGTGGCATACTTAGGCCACACATTCCACCTGCTCTGGGTAAAGCGGGGTGCCTAGGATGAGCAGTGCTTCAACACTCCTGGGCCGGGCCCCTGGCAGCACCAAGGCTCTGCCCACCTTCTTGACGGTTGAGGTCAGAGGGAGCCCACAGCTCCATTAATCAAGTTAAGCAGACCTGGTGGTGTGCATAGCAGAGCTGGCCCCTGCCAGATGTCCTTGTTCCTCTCAGCAGAGTAGCACTTCAGACTGCGCTCCACGTCCTGCTCTGGCAACAAGGCTCAGAGCCTTTGGCAGCCTTAAAATCATCTCGGTGGCAGACGGAGCATGTCTGGCCAAGTCTGTGGCTTTCTCTTTCTATCCTGTGAGTTCATAGAAAATAGACGCAAGCCTTGGTTTCCAAGAAGATGAGGATAACAGTAAATCAGCCCATTAACCCGCTATCTGCCCACCCGGCCCCCCTTACCTTCCCCAGGCCATTGGGCCTGTGAGCAGACAGTTGTGTCGAGGGGCGAGGTTCTGGCGTCACAGGATTGGCACCGCATGAGGAGGCAGCACCACGTGTGCCAAGGCCTGGCTGAGTCTATCTTGGATCCCGTGTGGTGGGGGTGGGAGGTCAGCAGATAAGAGCATTCTAGTGCCTTCTTGTCTTCCCTCCCCCTAGCTACCCCACCTTCTTCTGCTCCTAACCTCAGCAGCACAGATTTCGTGCAATGACAAGGAAAGGGAACATTCAGTGCCAGGCTTTAATTACAGTTGCTTCGGGCTGCTGGCCTCTGTGCCAAGTGGCCATGGAGAGTGTTTTATCACACCACAAAGCCAACAAGGTCAGGTCTGTGGTGTGTGCCCTTGGCACCTGGTTAGGGTGGGGCTGCGCTCGTGGCCCACTGGAGAAAGGCTGGGCCCAGATTAGTTCACACAGGCATCAGAAGAGCTGGCCAAGCGCAGCCCTGGGCTTCAGGGAGCCACGGAACCAGATGGAAATGCCTGTTGGGACCTTTAGGGCAGACTCTAGGGAAGGCCGGTAATTGGGTAGGAAAGCGGTCTTTAGGAGGATGGCCAAGCTCTGGAAGGATGATGGGGACAGATTATACTGTGGGGTATGGCCAAATGAGAGAAGTACAACAATAATCGTGTCCATAACACTTCACAGTTTACAGGGAGCTTTCCACTTGCTTCAGCATGCTTAATCCTCACATCAACCCTGCTTAGGGGACACAAGCTCAGAGAGGGCAAGTGACTTATCCAGAGTCACACAGGCAGAAACCCAGGACTGAAGCCCCAGCCTTTTACCACATCCAGCTGTCTTTCCATGAGGGGTAGAGGCAGATCCCCCGAGCTGGAGCCTCCAGGGCAGCCCTCGCTCAGGGCAGCACTGTGGTGACGCTGGTGAGCACCACATGCTCAGAGAGTTTGGAGACGGAGCATCGGCTCTGCAAGGACAAGGACTTGTGGCTGGCAGAGGAGCGGGGACTAGGGGCCTTCAGAGAGCCGCAGGGACCCGGGCCAGGCAGGCAGCAGGAGAAGGCAGCCTTAAACTGCTCCCGGAATTTGCCTTGGTTGGGAGACAAAAGACACAGCCATAAGGAGACAGATGCAGCAGGAAGGGGCCTTGAGCCCAGGGACACCCACGCAGCTCCAGCCAAGCTGCCTGTGAGGAGGCGGGGAGGGAGGGAGGGATAGAGCTGGGAGGGAGAGCCCTGAGGCAACCTCAGCACCGCCAGGGAGAGAGGACAGAGGCCCTGGAGCGGGTTCCCAAGGAGAGACGCAGTTGCCATCTGATTCCTTGACTGCGCTCTGGCTCAGAGGCTGGCTCAAAACGTGGTGTCTGGCTCAGGGGCCTCAGGTCACCTCTGCTCTCCTTGGTGTGTACATGGGGGTCACTATCTGTTGCTAGGCTTGTGCCCTCTCTGCCCTTTGATGATGAAAATGACAGTGGCAGCAGCCCTTTTGCATTTGGCAGTCATGCTGTGCTGGGCGCCTCAGCCTCTGTTCCCCAGAGCATCCCAGCACCCTGAAAGACTGGAGTCCTTTATCCTCACTTCACAGATGAGATGCACATAGGTACAGTGGCTTGCCCAAGGCCACCCAGCCAGAAGCTGAACCCAATTCTAATTCCAAAGCCCTTCTCAAGGGGAGGAGGGAAGGAGGGACCGCCACACCACCTTGTTCAGCCCAAGTATACCACGGAAACAGATTTTGTCAGGCTGAAGCCCCTTTGATCTTGTGTCATTAGCCTGCCAGCCTCTCTGGTACCCAGCACAGGGCCAGGCACACAGTAGGTGCTCAGTAAACATAGGCCAAACAAAGGCATATGTATCAGTAAGTCTGTCTGCCCTCCCCTCCCCACAGAGCTCATCTTCTGTTCTCTTTTCTGAGCTGGAAACCCGCAGCCAGCCTTGTTGAGTAATTCTTGAGTCTCAATGAGGGTTATACTATTGACTCCGGATCCCTTCTTTAACCTTTTAATAGTTCCTCAAAGATTATTTCTGTCCAGGCTTGAACAGTCATCTGGACCTGTTCTTTAGAAGTCTAATCCCAAAGTCAGAGGGCTGGTGAGTCACACTTCTGCTGAGCTCAGCCTCAGGGCCATTACCACCCTGAGACTGGGAGGTGGAGGGAGGGAGTGGGCACTGGGACAGCAGAGAGGAGAGGCCTGGAGTGGGAGTGGGAGCGGCAGGGGAGGAAGACTTCCAGAGGGGACAACCCCTGAGATTCTGGTCGCTCTGCCAGTGTGTCTAGCTGAGCGGGGGAAGCCCTTTCCTGGGCCTGGCCTGTCTGCCAGTGACCCTCCTTTAGCCCTGACACCTGGACTGTGCAATCCTTCCTCAGGCAGGGGCTCCAGGGCCCTCCTCCCACAGGTCTGACTCCCTCTGGGGAGGGTGGACTCTGCCTGTGCTGATTGGAGGTCTTGCTGTGCCTGCACCCGTGGTGGGAGTGGGGGGTGAACTGACCTAGCCCCTGCCCTTCCACTCACTCACTGGTCTGCAGAATCTGCACAACTGGATCCTGGGTGCCAGCCACCGTGGGGAGTGTGGCCCGTCTCCCACTCAGGACAGGGCTCCTCGGGGTGGGTCCTCCCAGAGCAGAATCACTGTGCCCACAGCAGATACATCCTCACCCTCCGTCCTTTATTTGGGCCCTGGCTTGGGGATGGGGAGACTTGTCATGTGGACTGTTGGCCACCCTCAGTGAGTTTGCATCCCCAGCCTGCTCACCACTGAGGAAGTTGTAGATGATGGGGTTGGCAGCACTGTTGGCGTACACCAGCCAGTGGGAGAAGGTGAAGCAGGCGTAGACAGCTTCGCGGTCACTGGCTTGGCGGAACATCCCGAACACCCTAGGCCCAGGGTAGAGGAGCGTCAGAAGTGGAGTAGCTGTGTGTGCGTGTATTGGGGGAGTGCTGCTCACAGAACCTGAGCTGTAAAGGGCAAGAGTTCCTGCTGCCCACTTCTGTCCACATTTCCTGCCTTCTGTACCTGAGGTCTTGGCCAGGCTTTGGGGTTCTCAAGCATGGAGGGTATCAAGCACCGCGATGGGCATCTCTAGCCTCCTGGCCATTGGATCCCCTAGGGCTTCCCATCCACTTTCTCATCCATCCTCACAGCAACATGATGAGTCATAGACATCATCCATTTTTCTATTAGGGAAACTGAGGCTCAGAGAAGTGAAGTGACATGCCGAAGATCACACAACCAGGAGGTGGCCAAGCACAGTCTCAAAGTGAGACTGTCTTCTGTCCGATAGCCTGCATTCTCTCCCCGGCGCCCTGTGACCCTCTTTTGCTGTCCCTCCAGACACATGCATGGTTAGCTCTCTCACTTCCTTCAAGTCTCTGCTCAAAGGTCATTTCCTTGGAAAGGCTTTTTTTTTTTTTTTTCTTTTGACAGCTCTGTCACCCAGGCTAGAGTGCAGCGGTGCAATCATGGCTCGCTGCAGCCTCAACCTCCTGGACTCAGGCTATTCTTCCACCTCAGTCTGTGTAGCTAGAACTACAGGCACATGCCACCATGCCCGGCTAATTTTTTGAATTTTAGTAGAGATGAAGTCTCATTATATTGCTCGGGCTGATCTTGAACTCATGGCCTCAAGCGATCCTCCCTCCTTGGCCTCCCAACATGTTGGAATTACAGACGTGAGCCAATGCACGTGGCCCCCTGCTTTTTTTAAACCATTATATCTAAAGCAAAAGCAAAAACCTACCAACCCTTGTCATTGTCACTCTCTGTCCTATTTTATTTTTCTTCCCAGCAGTTGTCATTTCCTGACATTATAATATACATTGATTTTTCTATTTACTTCCCTTCTCTCCCGCTAGAATGCAGCCTCCATGAAGGCAGGGACTTTGTCTGTCTTGTGCACTTGTTCACTGTATTTCCAACCCCCTAAAATGTGATGATTAAGTGAATAAATTTTCATAATAGCCCTAGGAGACAGAGGCTCAGAGAAGAGAAATGGCCTGCCCAAGGTCACATAGTGGAGAAGGGGTGGAGCCAGGTCTTTCTCCCAAGCAAGGAGAGCTCCTTCCCCAACCTCAAACTTCTCCCCACCCCAACCATACCCCAGGCTCTCACCTCTTAAGGACATTGAGGACACTGATGGGCAGGTAGCAGAGGGCAAAGACCAGCAGCACCACCATCAGCATCTTGGCTGTCTTCCTCCGCGCACGCATCTGCTTCACTTCAGCCAGGAAGGCGCGGGCCCGGGGCTGGGGCTGTCCACTCAGGCCCTGCTCCAGGTCCCCCAGCTGGTCTGAGGGGCGCTTCCAGTTTCGCACCAGTGCTGAGGTGGTGCCGGGAATCTGTCCAGCGCACATAGAGACAGCAGCGGTGGGTATAGCACCTTGGGAGGGTGCTTGCCTTTTGTGGGGCCCACTCCAGGCTGGACCCTGGGCAGGGTGGAGATGGGCAAAGGGATCAAACCTTTGCGAGAGGAAGGAATCTGATGTTTATGATAAAGACTAACACTCTGGACTTGAGAGTGAATGGTAGACTTTCATTTTCTTCTCTTTTCTTTCTTTTTTTTTTTTTTTTGAGATGGCATTTCACTCTAGTCACCCAGGCTAGAGTGCAATGGTGCGATCTTGGCTCTCTTCAACCTCAGCCTCCCGAGTAGCTGGAGTTACAGGTGTGTGCCACCACACCGGGCTAATTTTTGTATTTTTAGTAGAAACGGGGTTTCACCACATTGGCCAGGCTGGTCTTGAACTCCTGACCTCAGGTGATCCGCCTCAGCCTCCCAAAGTGCTGGGATTACAGGTGTGAACCACTGTGCCCAGCCTAGACTTTCATTTTCCATTAGCTCTTTGTGAAACCCCCTACAACATGCCTTGTGGAAAGATATTATTGGTCCTTAGGGATAGATGAGGCAACTAAGACTCAAAGAGGTGGGGACCCTTGAGAAGGCCCCAGGCCACATCCTCTCAACTGCCCATCCATCCTCCCTAAATCTCCAACACTGTCTTTGAGAGTAGGGGTGGGGGTGAGTTGTGCCTCCTCTGGGTCATACCAGACTGTGAGGAGCTCTGGGCAAGGGGTGGGCAGGTGGGCAGCATGGAATGGCCTGGACCAGTGCCTATAAGCCTGGAGTGGTTCTGGGCTCCTGGAGAAGCCTCTCCTGCCACCGGACACTCGAATCACCCACCACAGAGGAGCATGGGGCTAGAGTTCTGGAAACGTGGGTCTAGAGCCAGCTCAGACATTTGTGAGCTATGTGACCGTGGCCACCTCATTTTCCTTTCTAAGCCTTGCTTTCATGTCTGTCAAATGAGGAGGATTGTGCCTGTGTCCTGCTTGGCTGGGGGTTCTGTGGGGAGCAGGTGATGAGTGTTGGTGGACTGCAGGGCTGGCCAGCCAGGAAGGGCCCTGCTGGATTGGGTGCTCCTCCAAGGCAGGACCTGGGTCACAGCCAGTCCGTGTCCCCACCCACTGCCCAGCATGGCCTGGGCGCAAGCCAGTACTTCCTGTGGAATGTAGGTGACGTCCCCAGGTGTGAGAGTCCCTTCCTGAGCCTGGTCATGTTCTGGCCTGCCTTTTCTTACCGCCCAGACACCAGTCCAGGACTCCCACTCGCTAGGCCAAGGGCCTCTGAGCACCCCTGCCCCAAAAAAACCTAGGAAACCCACCGAGGGTCAGTCTGTAATGCAGGAAAGAAGACAGGCCCTGGAACCAGAAGGCTCTGCTGCTGTTGAATCTGGCAAGTTGGTTGCCCTTATTTGGCATTTGTGACGTGGGTAACGTTGCTTCTTTTGTTAGAAGTTGTTAAGACACTGGATGCAAAGTGCCTAATTTGGCAAGCAACACGGAGTTGCTATTATTATTGTTGCAGTGGTACTAAACTCAGCAGTGGAAGCTCACGGATCTGGGCTTTAGTTCCTGATCTACTCACTAGCTGAGTGGTTTGGGGGAAGTTACGTTGATCTTCTGGATCTCGGTTTTCTCATATATTTAATGTGGGTAATATATGGTGGCTAAGAGGATGCAAGACTATCTGGGAGTAGATACTTCAATAAACAGCAGCCACTAATATTAGAAGGATGTGTTACTATTCCATTCCAGGGTAGCCACTGGTGCTTTTGGCCTTGAGTTTGACGTGTCTCTGGGCTTCCCCTCTCTTTGGTTGCAGCCAAGATGGCACGTGCTGATGGCAGAGGACTGTCTACTCAGACCAGTAGCACCCCCACCCCCAGCCCACACAGTGACACCAGAGTGGGCCTCACCTGGCGGCCCCAGAGCTTGCGGAATATCTGGAAATAGGCCATGGCCATGAGGCCCAGTGGGGCCAGGTAGGTGACAATGAAGAAGCAACTGTGGTAGATCTTGGGATATAGGTCATCTGCAGGGGTCAAGAGATACAGAGTCAGGCCCAATCCGCGAGCCCCACCCTTCCCTGGTTAGCAATGCCACCCTGTCCTGACTAGGGTCAAAGCAAGGCCTAGGAGCGGCTGGACCCCATACAGCCACCATGACAGACAGAGACCCTGGAGTTGTCCAACTTGGGGTATCCCTCCTGGAAGGATGTCTACACTAGAGCAGATATCTGCATGAGGGGAGGCACCCACCCTGGGAGTATCCCTGGTAGGAGCCACTCTAGGGTGTCCCCTGGGGAAATACCTGCCCTGGGATTTCCCACTTTGGAAGGGACCCTGCTAGATGCTTGCCCTTGGGGTACGTGCTCCCGAAGTGCCCACCTGAGGGGATGCCTGCTTGAGGCTTCCACCATTACCTGCCCAGTGTTCATCACAGACTGAGAGGAGCCGTGTGCGGTTGGCTAGCTCGGGCAGCACACTGCTGCATTCCATGACTGCAGCCTGGGGCACCATGACAGTCAGCGACACAGCCCAGATGCCCAGGATGGAGCCACGGGCCCGCCGGGCTGTGCTCTTGAACAATAGTGGGTGGCAGATGGCATACCAGCGGTCCAGGGCGATGAAGCTGAGAGTCAGCACTGCCACTGACACGGACACGGCCTGCCCCACGGGGACACAATGTCAGTCATTTTGGGGGCCACCCAGAGATGTGAGAGTAGGTGAGTGAGGAGGCTGACGGCAGGTGCAGGGCAGTGCAAATCCTGACTCCACCACTTACTGGCTGTGTAAATGTGGGCAAGTCACTCACCGTCTCTGAGCCTTGTCTACAGAATGGGTTTATACCATCTACCTGGCAGGATTCTTGTGCGAATAAGTGAAATCATGTGTAAACAATGTCCAGCTTCGGAGCTGGCACATGGTAGGTGGACCCCTCCGGTGAATAATAACTTGTACCTATGTAACTTACTGTGTGCTGGGCACTGTTCTCTTCATCCTCATGGCAATCCCACAAAGTAAGTGCTCTTGCCCCCGTGTTACAGATGAGAAAACAGGCACAGAATTCCCTCATCCATCTGTCTTTATGCTCAGGGTCACCAGAGTTAACCGGTTGAGTGGGAAGCCTCAAAACTGGGAAATCCAAGAGGCATTTATCTCTGCCATGGAATGCAATCCCTACCCCAGGCTGTTAGGAAAAAACCCTCATTCTGGGAGACGGAGATGAGTCTGGGCCACAGGTGTGTAGGCATTGTCTCTAGGGGTACCCCCTGCCCTCTGGGGTGCGGGAAGTGGATCACAGGATACAAACTGAGAGAAGCCTTCTTCCACCCCACTAACCCCATCTGGACATCCTGGTTTCCGCCACTGGGGTCTTTCCTGGCCAGTGCAGGAGGGAGAGGAGAAGGCTGTTTCCATCAGGCTCCTCACGTCTGCCCCTTTGGGATTGGGGAGCAGGCCCAGGGTGTTGTGTATGTGTCACTGTGGGCTGATGCCTCTTTCCTTGACTGTGTGCCTGTGTACCTGGAGGTGACTCTATGTGTCCACACGTGCCTATGTATACGTCTGTGGCTGTGACCAGGAGGGGATCTCTGTGATTGTGTGGGGTTGTGTCTGTGTCCTGGAGTGTCCGATCTGGTGGCTTGCCCTTGCTAGCAGCAGAGGATGACACTTCAGGGGTCACGAGCCACTGACCTGTCTGAAAGGCAAGTCTGAGGGTCACTGAGACCTACGCAAGGCCGTCGTTTTTGTACAGGTGTGACAAGGAGTGGTGAGGGGTGCCTGGGCAGAGCTCACCTGTAGATAGGGGATGACCTTGCAGAGGGCATGGCCGAACAGCCAGGACTCAGTGATGTCCACCAGCAGGCTGACCGGCAGGCAGATGGCAGTTACCAGAACGTCAGCCAGGGACAGGTTGACGATGAAGTAGTTGGTGACCGTCCTCATGTGGTGGTTCCGCCACACGGCCAGGCAGACTGCAGGGTGCAGCGGGGTGAGGTGAAGCTGATGGCAGAGCCACACCCATCCTAATTCTGCCCAATCAGCGAGTCCCTCCCCACATACACCCCCACCCCCTTCAATCCCCAGGGAAAGCCAGCAGCACTGAAGGGCAAGCGCTGGACCTACCCAGCGTGTTGCCCACCAGGGCCACGAGGAACACAGCCACATAGGCTGCGATGAGGACCCACTCGTACTGTTTTGGGTACAGATAATCGCGCCACAGATAGCGGAGAAACTCGTCTTCATAGTCTGGAGGCACAGGGGATGGCTCCCTGCTGCCAGTGGGGACCCCCATCTGGGCCCCTGGGGTGGCTGAGGGCTCCATGAGCTCAGGAGCTGCTGCGGCGGAGGGGCATCCTAGGCTCTGCAGAGGGGGAGGAGGGAACTTGGGCCAGCCCTCAGCCCACTCCCCTCAGGGTGCCTGGAGGCTTGCACCCAGTTCTTTTTGGATCTCAGCCCCAAACTTCCTGAAGGGAGGAAGGAAAGGAGAGAGTGGAGAAAGAGAGAAGGAAGGAAATTAGGGAGTGTGCCAGGTGCTTTGCATATAAGTTCCCTCTTAATTCTCATAGTCATGAAATTGGTGGAAGAAGACAGACCTGAGTTGCATCCCAATTCCACACCAGTTGCCTTGGGTAGCTTACCTGGCCTCTTTCAGCCTCGGCTTCCCCATCTGTCTAATGGGGTGACAGCCCTACTTACCTTACAGGGCCGCGATGAGGAGAAATGAGCTCCGATGCGTGCCAAGTGCTTCACCAAGAACCTGGTACAAGAAGGTAGTTTAGGGGACGTTTCGGGTTACCATTATTAGGGTACCCTGCTTTGCAGATGAGAGGGAAGCTCAGTGAGATTGAGTCTCTTGCTCAAGGTCACAAAGCTCCTAAGCCAGGTCTGTTCGAACCCATCAAACACCATAGATTTGAGAGGATAAGCCATCCCGACTGCAAATATTTCTTGAGCCAGTTCACAAGCTTTAACTTTGGGTTGGGAAAACGGGCCAAAGGAGGTGTTAAGAGACCCAAGCCCCACCCGCCATACCTGCCAGACCCTCCGGTGGGCACGCGCGCACACGCACACATACAACACACACACAATGTGGGTGGTG